ATAGAGAGATAGATAGACCGACAGACAGACAGACAGACAGACAGACAGATAGATAGATAGATGATAGACAGACAGACAGGCAAACAGACAGACAGACAGACAGATAGATGATAGATAGATAGATAGATAGACAGACAGACAGACAGATAGACGATAGATAGATAGATAGATAGACAGATAGATAGATCGATAGATAGACAGACAGACAGACAGATAGACGATAGATAGATAGATAGATAGACAGATAGATAGATCGATAGATAGACAGACAGACAGACAGATAGACGATAGATAGATAGATAGATAGACAGATAGATAGATCGATAGATAGACAGACAGACAGACAGATAGACGATAGATAGATAGATAGATAGACAGATAGATAGATCGATAGATAGACAGACAGACAGACAGATAGACGATAGATAGATAGATAGATAGACAGATAGATAGATCGATAGATAGACAGACAGACAGACAGATAGACGATAGATAGATAGATAGATAGACAGATAGATAGATCGATAGATAGACAGACAGACAGACAGATAGACGATAGATAGATAGATAGATAGACAGATAGATAGATCGATAGATAGACAGACAGACAGACAGATAGACGATAGATAGATAGATAGATAGACAGATAGATAGATCGATAGATAGACAGACAGACAGACAGATAGACGATAGATAGATAGATAGATAGACAGATAGATAGATCGATAGATAGACAGACAGACAGACAGATAGACGATAGATAGATAGATAGATAGACAGATAGATAGATCGATAGATAGACAGACAGACAGACAGATAGACGATAGATAGATAGATAGATAGACAGATAGATAGATCGATAGATAGACAGACAGACAGACAGATAGACGATAGATAGATAGATAGATAGACAGATAGATAGATCGATAGATAGACAGACAGACAGACAGATAGACGATAGATAGATAGATAGATAGACAGATAGATAGATCGATAGATAGACAGACAGACAGACAGATAGACGATAGATAGATAGATAGATAGACAGATAGATAGATCGATAGATAGACAGACAGACAGACAGATAGACGATAGATAGATAGATAGATAGACAGATAGATAGATCGATAGATAGACAGACAGACAGACAGATAGACGATAGATAGATAGATAGATAGACAGATA